GTGTAGCCTTAACAGACTGTTGGGGGCAAGTGCTGTTAGCGAGCAGCACCTGTGAAGGCCGGCACGGCACACGAGGGGGTGGGTGGCCAGCACCACGTCCGGCCGCCTTTGTCTCCCCAGTGGCGATCTTTTACACACCGTCACCGGGTACTCACACGAGGCCGAGTCGACCTAGGGGAGGCCCCGGGACCGTCTCAGATAATCGTCACCGGCGTTGGCCGTGAGCGGGGAATCGAACTCGGGGCTTCGGGGTGTCGTAGCGATTGGCGCTGACCGCTACACTGCCGCTCCCCCCCCACTGCACGCGATGCAAAATTCACTCGCACGCACACACACACACGTGCGTGTGCGTGCGGGATGATGCGCCGTCTGGTAAACTCGGAGCCTTGCTCGATTGAGGCCAATTCTGGTTGAAATGTCACGGGAATCCCGCGAGGAGTCCCTCCCGCGACATTCGTGGTTGGCACACCTGGAACATTCGATGCATCGAGTGGTGGTTGAGTTGAATTTTACTTGTATACTTTGTTTTTTCGGTGATGCGTTTACCCGTGCCTATACTTTGCACTCCTATCGTGCGCTTTTGTTCGTATTGTTTGATGTTGTAACGTCTGTGAAAAAAAGAGCTTCATAGCTCATCGGATTGCTCTTCCGGTTAAAAAATAATAATATTCATGGTTCTGATTTCCCGGCCTCCGACGGACAAAGGGATCATTGATATTACAGATAGCAGGTCGCAGAGTGTGGTGGTGAAAAAGTAAACGTAATTTGTATGATACCAGGTAAGTTCCCATTGAGCGATGTAGCTGTTTTTCAAAAGCGACCTGGCCATCACAAATGATAGCCCAGTGAAGTGGCTTCTCATCATCATCATCACGCGGACATTTATTGCGGCCAAAACATTCTAAACGCGTGATGTTCATTCTAAATGTGGAGGGGAAACCTGGGGTGAGCCTGGTGAAAAATCCACGGGGAGAGAGAGACGGAAACTCCAAACATTCAGGCGTCAGGGTCGGGATCGAACTCACGACCTCCTGTATACCAGGCGAGGTAGTTAACATCTCCTAGCCACCTTGGCGCGGTGCCTGCTGTGACGAGCAGGGGGCGCGTGATGCAGGAGACAGAGCGAGACGTGGAGAAAGAGGGGGGGGGGGGGAGAAGTGGAGAGAGAGGCGTGGAGAGAGGGGGGGGGGAGAGAAGTGGAGAGAGACGTCGAGAGAGGGGGGGGGAGAAGTGGAGATAGAGGGGGGAGAAGTGGAGAGAGAGACGTGGAGAGAGAGGGGGGGGAGGCGTGGAGAGAGAGGTGGGGAGAGACGTGGAGAGAGGGGGGGAGAAGTGGAGAGAGAGAAAGGGGGTGGGGAGAAGTGGAGAGAGAGAGGGGGGGTGGGAGAAGTGGAGCGAGAGAGAGACGTGGAGAGAGAGGGGGGGGGAGAAGTGGAGAGAGACGTGGAGAGAGAGGGGGGGAGAAGTGGAGAGAGAGCGAGAGACGTGGAGAGAGAGGTGGGGAGAGAAGTGGAGAGAGGGGGGGAGAAGTGGGGAGAGAGAGAGAGACGTGGAGAGAGAGGGGGGGTGAGAAGTGGAGAGAGGGGGGGAGAAGTGGAGAGAGAGCGAGAGACGTGGAGAGAGAGGTGGGGAGAGAAGTGGAGAGAGGGGGGGAGAAGTGGAGAGAGAGAGAGAGAGAGACGTGGAGAGAGAGGTGGGGAGATAAGTGGAGAGAGGGGGGGAGAAGTGGAGAGAGAGACGTGGAGAGAGAGGGGGGGTAGAAGTGGAGAGAGAGACGTGGAGAGAGGGGGGGGCTACACTCACTCATCATACACTGACTCACTCACACATCATACACTCACACTACCACTGACTCACTCACACATCATACACTGACTCACCCATAATAAACTGACTCACTCACACATCATACACTCACTCACACTACCACTAACTCACTCACACATCATACACTGACTCACCCATAATAAACTGACTCACTCACACATCATACACTCACTCACACTACCACTGACTCGCTCACACATCGTACACTGGGAGTGCCATGCTGCCAGCTATGGCTGCAAGTTTGGCCGTATGTGTTATGAATATCGTTTATTGTTAAATTTGAATCACAGTTCTTATGATTACTATTGTTACATTGTTTTTATAGCTTTATTTTGGTGATTTCGAAAACACATGGTTAAGCCATGTTGCTTGCGGAAGTGCGGAGTTGGCCTGATAACTTGAATCTAAATTGGCTTATGGTTGTTATTGTCTGACTTGCATCACACTGGGATTTTTGCACACAGCGTTGTAATACGGTGGAGTTTTTTTTTCTTCTGGAAGATTTGCTGGTTTATCCCAGGATGTTTCTGTTGCGCATCGTCGCTTCAAGACGTTTCTCTGTTCATGTTTTGTTTGTTGCGGTTGCACCCGACTCACATGAATGAAACTTGAAACTTGAGAAGTGGGTATTTGGAGCGAGAGTTCTGGACTAGTTCGTAATTGCTCACCCAGCGGGCGCTGCAGGAGAAAGTGAATCTCTCAGCAGAGCCCCCGGGTTGCGGTGTCAGAGGAGAATGAGGAGCGACTCCCCGAAGCTTTCTGAGAAAGCAGAATGCCATTTTAGTTCCCTCTGTAGCCCGATAAATATAGCTGCCCCCACCCCCCCTACCCCACTCTCAGGCTGTGATTAAAATGATCTATTTATAGGAATAGGTTTTACCCTTTTAACTGGCACAAAAAAACTGACACCTTTATTCAAGGCATCATGTCTGCAATAATCGCAACACAAGCAGTCAAAATGCAAACAAAAAGACAACTCTGATAATAATATGCACTGTCCTTGAATTTGATTGGTCCACACGCGAGACGGCTTTCTTTAGAGCCTAGTGTCTATTGGTGTTGGACCAGAAGACGCCAAAAGGCGTACAACTCAAAAACAGCGCACTATCAGAGTATTGAGGGCTCGGGGTGAGCATTTACATTATGAGACCTCCTTTGCCAGTAACAAGATATAGTAATAGGTTTTACCCTTTGTGCCAGTTAAAAGGGTAAAACCTATTACTATCTCTTGTTACTGGCAAAGGAGGTCTCATAATGATCTATTTACTCATTAATGTAGTAAAATGTGTTGTTCACGTGGAAAGAGGAAACCGGAGCGAGGGAGCAACGCTCTATCCCCTCCCCCCCCCCTCCACGTACAGATGGAAGCAACAGATGAGTCAATTCGCGCCTTCTCCTAGCCAACCAGTGGTATGGCGCCAACTCGACACCCCACTGGGTAAAAGGGAAAATCACAACATCTGTGTGTGATCAACCAACCCTCGCCTCCTCATTGGACCATAGTCTAATTCCGGCAGCTGCCTCTTTTTACATTTGAAAATTGAAATCATTGCAATGAGATGAGATGTAAGCCGCTTTGAGATGCCGGGACATTTTAAGCGCCTAATAAATACTGATCCTTATTCTTAACACCGGCGGAGAGAGGGGGGGTATAGTGGTACACAGGGAGAGAGAGAGGGGGGGGCAGGGTGGTACACAAGGAGAGAGAGGGGGGGCAGGGTGGTACACAGAGAGAGAGGGGGGCAGGGTGGTACACAGAGAGAGAGGGGGGGCAGGGTGGTACACAGGGAGAGAGAGAGAGGGGGGCAGGGTGGTACACAGGGAGAGAGAGAGGGGGGGCAGGGTGGTACACAGAGAGAGAGAGGGGGGGCAGGGTGGTACACAGGGAGAGAGAGGGGGGGCAGGGTGGTACACATGGAGAGAGAGAGAGGCGGGTAGGGTGGTACACAGGGAGAGAGAGAGGGGGCAGGGTGGTACACAGGGAGAGAGAGGGGGGCAGGGTGGTACACAGGGAGAGAGAGAGGGGGGTAGGGTGGTACACAGGGAGAGAGAGAGGGGGGCAGGGTGGTACACAAGGAGAGAGAGGGGGGCAGGGTGGTACACAGGGAGGGAGAGAGGGGGGGCAGGGTGGTACACTGGGAGAGAGAAAGGGGGGCAGGGTGGTACACAGGGAGAGAGAGAGGGGGGGCAGGGTGGTACACAGGGAGAGAGAGGGGGGGCAGGGTGGTACACAGGGAGAGAGAGAGGGGGGCAGGGTGGTACACAGAGAGAGAAAGAGGGGGGGCAGGGTGGTACACAGAGAGAGAGGGGGGCAGGGTGGTACACAGGGAGAGAGAGAGGGGGGGCAGGGTGGTACACAAGGAGAGAGAGAGGGGGGGCAGGGTGGTTCACAGAGAGAGAGGGGGGGCAGGGTGGTACACAAGGAGAGAGAGGGGGGGCAGGGTGGTACACAGAGAGAGAGAGAGGGGGGCAGGGTGGTACACAGGGAGAGAGTGAGGGGGGGCAGGGTGGTACACAGGGAGAGAGAGGGGGGGCAGGGTGGTACACAGGGAGAGAGTGAGGGGGGGCAGGGTGGTACCCAAGGAGAGAAAGAGAGGGGGGCAGGGTGGTACACAGGGAGAGAGAGAGGGGGGCAGGGTGGTACACAGGGAGAGAGGGGGGCAGGGTGGTACACAGGGAGAGAGAGAGGGGGGGCAGGGTGTTACACAGGGAGAGAGTGAGGGGGGGCAGGGTGGTACACAGAGAGAGAGGGGGGCAGGGTGGTACACAGGGAGAGAGAGGGGGGGCAGGGTGGTACACAGGGAGAGAGAGAGAGGGGGGGCAGGGTGGTACACAGGGAGAGAGAGGGGGGGCAGGGTGGTACACAGGGAGGGAGAGAGAGGGGGGCAGGGTGGTACACAGGGAGAGAGAGTGAGGGGGGGCAGGGTGGTACACAGGGAGAGAGAGAGAGGGGGGCAGGGTGGTACACAGGGAGAGAGAGAGAGAGAGAGGGGGGGCAGGGTGGTACACAGAGAGAGAGGGGGGGCAGGGTGGTACACAGAGAGAGGGGGGGGGCAGGGTGGTACACAGAGAGAGGGGGGGCAGGGTGGTACACAGAGAGAGAGGGGGGGCAGGGTGGTACACAGGGAGAGAGGGGGGGGGCAGGGTGGTACCCGCCTAACAGAGTTGTTGTCTGGTGGGATTCCTAGGACCCCCCCCCCCCTCGTTCCCCCGATGGCGAACCAGTCGGACCCCGACTACGACCCCGCGGTCTCAACGCAGCACGGCCCCGACCCCCTCAGCTCGGACCCCTTCCACTCCAAGCTGTCTCCAGTGGCCGACATGGTGGCTGGCGTCTACCTTACGTCAATCTGTAAGCCAACTACCCAACTACCCACCTACCAAACTACCAAACTATCCACCTACCCACCTACCCAAGCACCCAACTACCCACCTACCCAACTACCCACCTACCCAACTACCCACCTATCCACCTACCCACCTACTCACCTACCCACCTACCCGCCTACCCACCTACCAAACTACCCACCTACCAAACTACCAAACTATCCACCTACCCACCTACCCAAGCACCCAACTACCCACCTACCCAACTACCCACCTACCCAACTACCCACCTATCCACCTACCCACCTACTCACCTACCCACCTACCCAACTACCCACCTACCAAACTACCAAACTATCCACCTACCCACCTACCCAAGCACCCAACTACCCACCTACCCAACTACCCACCTACCCAACTACCCACCTACCCACCTACCCACCTACCCAACTACCCACCTACCCACCTACCCAACTACCCACCTACCCACCTACCCACCTACGCACCTACGCACCTACCCAACTACCCACCTACCCACCCACCTACCCACCCACCTACCCACCCACCTACCCAACTACCCACCTACCCAACTACCCACCTACCCACCTACCTCCTCGCCTGTGCACCGCGTGTGTCGCTACTCTGGGGAGCGGTGGCGCTGTGGTTAGCGCAATGCAATGCTACGGAATCCTGCTACAGGCTCACGGCCAACACCAGTTGCGATTGTATCTGAACCGGTCCAGGGTCTCCTCTAAGTCTACTCAGCTTCAAATGATTACCTGGTGTGGTGTGTACTGCCCCTGCCTTAATAGGTGCTCGCTAACAACACTTTCCCCAACAGTCTGTTAAAGGCTACATCGGGGATCTTTGTTTAGTCTGTGTGTGTTGCTATTGTGTGTATGTGTGCTATGTATCAACGTGTACTGTGTGTGCTGTGTGTATGTACTCTGTCTGTATCACTATTGTGTATTCATGTGTAGCTGTGTATATGTAGTGTGTGCAATGTGCACGTACACATGGTTACGTAGTGGGTTCCACAACGACACACACTTCAATTTGGAGGCAACACGTTTATTGCTACACCCCGACAGGGCAACTGCTTAAACGTACGGAATAACAAATAGGGTGGTGACGTCCACATGTAACTAAGACCACAACTGGGTAACTACACTACAACGAGGTAACTACCTAAACGGGTCAGTCAGTAACGTACTGACTGACCCACTGACTGACCCACAAGCCGAGCGTAACGATCGAAGACCGAAGAGACGGAGCACGGCTGGTTGACTCCAGACAACAGCCCGGATCGGCTCTCGGGACCTCCCTTATATGCGCCTGAGCGTGGTATGGCTCCGCCCACAGCCACGCCCCCTCCTGGATCCGACCAGAAGGTTCTAGGCAGCATGTCACATGTCCCGCTCGCCCCCCTTGGGCTCCCCTCGCTACCCTGCCCTGGCCACGTGCCCTCTGGGGTTCACCCAGAGTATCATGTCCTGGCGTGCCCTCTCTCTGCCCGTTACCGGAACCATGTCCCCAAGGGGCCCCTTCCATGGCATATCCACCCTGGTGCCAGAGAGAGGCTCTAACACGCGTAGTTCCCCTCTCTCTTCTCAATAGCTGACGCAAAGCGCCGTAGTGACTCAATATACGTCACTACAGTTACATCCCATAGATACATCTCATAGGTATGTCCCATAGGTATGTCCCATAGGTATGTCCCATAGTTACATCCCATAGTTACGTGACATAGTTCCATCCCATAGTTACATCACATAGTTAAATCCCATAGTTGCATCCCATAGTCACGTCCCATAGTTACATCCCAACATCCTACAGTTACGTCCTATAGTTACGTTTAATAGTTCCACCCCATAGTTACGTCCCATGGTTAGATCCCATAGCTACATCCCATAGTTGCTACATCCCATAGTTATATCCCATAGTTAGGTCACATAGTTACATCCCATAGTTACGTCCCATGGTTACATCCCATAGTTACGTCCCATGGTTACATCCCATAGTTACGTACCATAGTCAGATCCAAAAGTTAAGTCACATAGCTACATCCCATAGTTACTTCACATAGTTACGTCACATGGTTAGATCCAATAGGTACATCCCATAGTTACGTCACCTAGTTACATCCCATAGTTACGTCACATAGTTGCGTCACATAGTTACGTCACATAGTTGTGTCACATGGTTACGTCACATAGTTGCGTCACATAGTTGCATCACAAAGGTACGTCACATAGTTACGTCACATAGTTACGTCACATAGTTACGTCACATAGTTACTTCACATAGTTACGTCACATAGTTACTTCACATAGTTACATCCCATAGTTACGTCACATAGTCACTCCGGTTGGGATCTTATGCCCCTACTCACCCCTCCCCCACATTGGCATTGATGTTAAGCGCCTGGAGGTGGTTTTGATGCACGGTGCGATATGAGCAGATTATATATCATGATTACTACGCTTGTGTACTATGTGGTTGTACTGTGTATGTGTATTGTGTGTGTATTGTGTATTGTGTGTGTATTGTGTGTGTACTGTGTATGTGTATTGTGTGTGTACTGTGTATGTGTATTGTGTGTGTATTGTGTATGTGTATTGTGTGTGTACTGTGTATGTGTATTGTGTGTGTACTGTGTATTGTGTGTGTACTGTGTATGTGTATTGTCTGTGTACTGTGTATGTGTATTGTGTGTGTACTGTGTATGTGTATTGTGTGTGTACTGTGTATGTACTGTGTATGTGTATTGTGTGTGTACTGTGTATGTGTATTGTGTGTGTACTGTGTGTGCCATGTGTAGGTGTGTGTGTACTGTGTGTGCTGTGTGTAGGTGTGTTTGTACTATATGTGTGTACTGTGTGTGCCGTGTTTAGGTTTTGTACTGTGTGTACTGTGTGTGTACTGTGTGTACCGGGTGTAGGTGTGTTTATACTATGTGTGTGCTGTGTGTAGGTGTGTGTGTACTGTGTGTGCTGTGTGTAGGTGTGTTTGTACTATATGTGTGTACTGTGTGTGCCGTGTTTAGGTGTTTGTACTGTGTGTACTGTGTGTGCACTGTGTGTACCGGGTGTAGGTGTGTTTGTACTATGTGTGTACTGTGTGCTGTGTGTATTGTGTGTACTGTGTGTGCTGTGTGTAGGTGTGTTTATACTATGTGTGTACTGTGTGCTGTGTGTACTGTAGGTCTGTTTGTACTATGTGTGTGCTGTGTGTAGGTGTGCTTGTAATATGTGTGTACTGTGTGTGTTGTGTGTATTGTGTGTGCTGTGTGTGCTGTGTGTAGGTGTGTTTGTACTCTGTGTGTGCTGTGTGTATTGTGTGTACTGTGTGTTGTGTGTAGGTGTGTTTGTACAATGTGTGTACTGTGTATGCTGTGTTTAGGTGTGTTTGTACTACGTATGTATTGTGTGTGCTGTGTGTAGGTGTGTTTGTATTATGTATGTACTGTGTGTGCTGTGTGTAGGTGTGTTTGTATTATGTGTGTACTGTGTATGCTGTGTCTAGGTGTGTTTGTACTATGTGTGTACTGTGTGTGCTGTGTGTAGGTGTGTGTGCTATATGTGTACTATATGTGTAATGTGTGTACTCTATGTGTACTGTGTGTACTATATGTGTGATGTGTGTACTATATGTGTACTATATCTGTACTGTGTGTGCTGTGTGTAGGTGTGTGTGCTATATGTGTACTATATGTGTACTGTGTGTACTATATGTGTACTATATCTGTACTGTGTGTGCTGTGTGTAGGTGTGTGTGCTATATGTGTACTATATGTGTACTATGTGTACTATATCTGTACTGTGTGTGCTGTGTGTAGGTGTGTGTGCTATATGTGTGCTATATGTGTACTATGTGTAATATATCTGTACTGTGTGTGCTGTGTGTAGGTGTGTGTGCTATGTGTACTATATGTGTACTGTGTGTACTATATGTGTACTATATCTGTACCGTGTGTGTTGTGTGTAGGTGTGTGTGCTATATTTGTACTATATGTGTACTGTGTGTACTATATGTGTACTATATCTGTACTGTGTGTGCTGTGTGTAGGTGTGTGTGCTATATGTGTACTATATGTGTACTGTGTGTACTATATGTGTAATATATCTGTACTGTGTGTGCTGTGTGTAGGTGTGTGTGCTATATGTGTACTATATGTGTACTGTGTGTACTATATGTGTACTATATCTGTACTGTGTGTGCTGTGTGTAGGTGTGTGTGCTATATGTGTACTATATGTGTACTGTGTGTACTATATGTGTACTATATCTGTACTGTGTGTGCTGTGTGTAGGTGTGTGTACTATATGTGTACTATGTGTACTATATGTGTACTATGTGTACTATATCTGTACTGTGTGTGCTGTGTGTAGGTGTGTGTGCTATATGTGTGCTATATGTGTACTATATGTGTACTATGTGTAATATATCTGTACTGTGTGTGCTGTGTGTAGGTGTGTGTGCTATATGTGTACTATATGTGTACTGTGTGTACTATATGTGTACTATATCTGTACCGTGTGTGCTGTGTGTAGGTGTGTGTGCTATATGTGTACTATATGTGTACTGTGTGTACTATATGTGTACTATATCTGTACTGTGTGTGCTGTGTGTAGGTGTGTGTGCTATATGTGTACTATATGTGTACTGTGTGTACTATATGTGTAATATATCTGTACTGTGTGTGCTGTGTGTAGGTGTGTGTGCTATATGTGTACTATATGTGTACTGTGTGTACTATATGTGTACTATATCTGTACTGTGTGTGCTGTGTGTAGGTGTGTGTGCTATATGTGTACTATATGTGTACTGTGTGTACTATATGTGTACTATATCTGTACTGTGTGTGCTGTGTGTAGGTGTGTGTGCTATATGTGTACTATATGTGTACTGTGTGTACTATATGTGTACTATATCTGTACTGTGTGTGCTGTGTGTAGGTGTGTGTGCTATATGTGTACTATATGTGTACTGTGTGTACTCTATGTGTACTATATCTGTACTGTGTGTGCTGTGTGTAGGTGTGTGTGCTATATGTGTACTATATGTGTACTATGTGTACTATATCTGTACTGTGTGTGCTGTGTGTAGGTGTGTGTGCTATATGTGTGCTATATGTGTACTATATGTGTACTATGTGTAATATATCTGTACTGTGTGTGCTGTGTGTAGGTGTGTGTGCTATATGTGTACTATATGTGTACTGTGTGTACTATATGTGTACTATATCTGTACCGTGTGTGCTGTGTGTAGGTGTGTGTGCTATATGTGTACTATATTTGTACTGTGTGTACTATATGTGTACTATATCTGTACTGTGTGTGCTGTGTGTAGGTGTGTGTGCTATATGTGTACTATATTTGTACTGTGTGTACTATATGTGTACTATATCTGTACTGTGTGTGCTGTGTGTAGGTGTGTGTGCTATATGTGTACTATATTTGTACTGTGTGTACTATATGTGTACTATATCTGTACTGTGTGTGCTTTGTGTAGGTGTGTGTGCTATATGTGTACTATATGTGTACTGTGTGTAATATATGTGTACTATATCTGTACTGTGTGTGCTGTGTGTAGGTGTGTGTGCTATATGTGTACTATATGTGTACTGTGTGTACTATATGTGTACTATATCTGTACTGTGTGTGCTGTGTGTAGGTGTGTGTGCTATATGTGTACTATATGTGTACTGTGTGTACTATATGTGTACTATATCTGTACTGTGTGTTCTGTGTGTAGGTGTGTGTGCTATATGTGTACTATATGTGTACTGTGTGTACTATATGTGTACTATATCTGTACTGTGTGTGCTGTGTGTAGGTGTGTGTGCTATATGTGTACTATATGTGTACTGTGTGTACTATATGTGTACTATATCTGTACTGTGTGTGCTGTGTGTAGGTGTGCTGTCTCTGTTGGGGAACGGGATGGTGCTCACGCAATGCCTCATGCGCAAACGCAAACTCAAGCCGGCGGAGATCATCACGGTCAACCTGGCCATCTCTGATTTCTGTCTCTCCGGTGAGATTTGGGGACCCCCCTGAGTGTGTACGTATCCGTGTGTGTGTGTACGTATCCGTGTGTATACGTATCCGTGAGTGTGTGTACGTATCCGTGAGTGTGTGTACGTATCCGTGAGTGTGTACGTATCCGTGTGGGTGTACGTATCCGCGTGTGTGTGCGTATCCGTGTGTGTGTACGTATCCGTGTGTGTGTGCGTATCCGTGTGTGAGTGTGTACGTATCCGTGAGTGTGTGTACGTATCCGTGAGTGTGTGTACGTATCCGTGTGTATGTGTGTGTATCCGTGTGTATGTGTGCGTATCCGTGTGTGTGTACGTATCCGTGTGTGAGTGTGTACGTATCCGTGAGTGTGTGTACGTATCTGTGTGTGTGTACGTATCCGCGTGTGTGTGTACGTATCCGTGAGTGTGTACGTATCCGTGTGTGTGTACGTATCCGTGTGTGTGTACGTATCCGTGAGTGTGTGTACGTATCCGTGTGTGTGTGTACGGATACGCGAGTGTGTGTATGTATCCGTGTGTGTGTGTGTACGGATACGCGAGTGTGTGTACGTATCCGTGAGTGTGTACGTATCCGTGAGTGTGTACGTATCCGTGTGTGTGTACGTATCCGCGTGTGTGTACGTATCCGTGTGTGAGTGTGTACATATCCGTGAGTGTACGTATCTGTGTGTGTGTATGGATCCGTGAGTGTGTGTACGTATCCGCGTGTGTGTGTACGTATCCGTGAGTGTGTACGTATCCGTGTGTGTGTGCGTATCCGTGTGTGTGTGCGTATCCGTGTGTGTGTGTACGTATCCGTGAGTGTGTGTACGTATCCGTGTGTGAGTGTGTACGTATCCGTGAGTGTGTGTACGGATCCGTGAGTGTGTGTACGTATCCGCGTGTGTGTGTACGTATCCGTGAGTGTGTACGTATCCGTGAGTGTGTGTACGTATCCGTGTGTGTGTGTACGTATCCGTGTGTGAGTGTGTACGTATCCGTGTGTATGTGTGCGTATCCGTGTGTATGTGTGCGTATCCGTGTGTGTGTACGTATCCGTGTGTGGGTGTGTACGTATCCGTGAGTGTGTGTACGTATCTGTGTGTGTACGGATCCGTGAGTGTGTGTACGTATCCGCGTGTCTGTGTACGTATCCGTGAGTGTGTGTACGTATCCGTGTGTGTGTACGTATCCGTGAGTGTGTGTACGTATCCGCGTGTGTGTGTACGTATCCGTGAGTGTGTACGTATCCGTGAGTGTGTACGTATCCGCGTGTGTGTGTACGTATCCGCGTGTGTGTACGTATCCGTGAGTGTGTACGTATCCGTGTGTGTGTACGTATCCGCGTGTGTGTACGTATCCGTGTGTGAGTGTGTACGTATCCGTGAGTGTACGTATCTGTGTGTGTGTGTACGGATCCGTGAGTGTGTGTACGTATCCGCGTGTGTGTGTACGTATCCGTGAGGGTGTACGTATCCGTGAGTGTGTGCGTATCCGTATGTGTGTGCGTATCCGTGTGTGTGTACGTATCCTTGAGTGTGTGTACGTATCCGTGAGTGTGTACGTATCCGTGTGTGTGTACGTATCCGTGAGTGAGTGTGTACGGATCCGTGAGTGTGTGTACGTATTCGCGTGTGTGTGTGTACGTATTCGCGTGTGTGTGTGTACGTATCCGTGAGAGTGTGTACGTATCCGTGAGTGTGTGTACGAATCCGTGTGTGTGTGTGTACGTATCCGTGTGTGTGTGTACGTATCCGTGAGTGTGTAAGTATCTGTGTGTGTGTGCATATACGTCTGTGTGTTTACGTCCGGCAAAACAATCCCCTACCTCCTCGTGGTGCCGGACGGGCAACGCTGTCGTGGGCAGTGCTGTGGGGGGAGGGGCAATTCCGAGTGTACTTTCCCTTCATGGCGTTTGTAACCACCACAGCGGCCAAATGGGGGCTCTGGACGGGCGTGAGAGGCTGGTAACCGCTCCACCTTCAATGAATTACCGCTAAACTACGACGACAAAATGTTATAAATAAGCTTGTGCCGGAGGCCCCGGGGGGACAGGCGTCTATGACGTCTCCTGGCCAAACCCCATTTGGCAGAGCCAGGAGATTGAATCCTTACCCTCGGGGATCCTCCAGAAACCAAAAAAAACCCACTATGTGTGGCCACATGGAATGTTCGAACGCTCACTGCGGAGGAGAGGCTGCCATGCCTCTGTCGGGAGCTGGACCGGTACTGCCTGGATCTCTGTGGCATTCAGGAGGTCCGGTGGACCGGCTCTGGCTCCTGCCACCATGAGAGGTGGCCAGTCCTCTACTCAGGGCAGGAGACTGCCAAACAACAGGGTGTTGCTCTTCTTCAGAATGAAAGAATGAAGGGGGCATGGGAATGTGGCGGTGAGGTGTGGGAAGCCATACGTCTTAGGCTACTTTGGGCTAGCCTTCCCATCAACCAGAGGTGAGGAGTGGTGGTCATGGTTACTTATGCCCCCACCGAAGACGAACATCCGATGAGTCAGTTGCCTTCTATGACCTCCTGTCACAGGTGCTAACTAAAGTGGCCCCTCGGGAAGAGTCATCTTGTTGGGTGACGTCAATGCCCGAGCTGGTCATGATGCTGGTACCTGGTCTGGAGTGATTGGAAGGCATGAGCCAGATCAGCTCAATAACAATGGCAGGAGGCTGCTCGATTTTTGTGCAGCCCATGGGATTGTAATTACCAACACGCTGTTCTGGCATCGGTGCATCCACACCACATCATGGATGCATGCCGGGTCCAAGCAATAACATCTGCTGGACTACATAGTGACGGAACAGCGGATGCGGGCCCATGTCCTTGACACCAGGACCTACCATGGAGCTGATCTGGCCACTGACCATCGACTTGTCATCTGTAAGATGCGCCTGCGATTCTTCCACTCCGGTGGTGGGTGTACACCCAGAACCCCATTCAAACACTTAGTGGCATAGTCTCAGCTAGCTGATGAAAGTTGCAAGCGAGAATTTCATCATCGCTTGTGGCTGGGGTTGGCATCGTCCCCCACTCCTCCTGACGTCGAGAAATGGGAGAGGTTTAGGACTGTGGCTCATGCAGCTGCAATGGCTGCTTTGTGTATATGGTCCAGACCTCCCCAAAGACCCTGGCTGACAGAGGAGGTGTTCAAGCTGGCTGAGAAAAAGCGACAGGCCCACTCTCATCGGCTACAGCATCCCACATTGGAGAATGAAGAGGCTTACTGCAGCCTTTGCTCGGAGGTTCGGAGAGCCGTGAGGCGCTGCAAGGATGGGTGGTGGTCGCGGGTTGCTGAGGAGATGTAGTCTGCCTCAGTGACCCGCAATCACAAATCGCTCTTTAATTCCATCTGAAAATTAACCTGCAGGGCCACACCTATTACCATAATTAGGGGAAAGAATGGTGATCCAATCTCCGACCCCCATGAACAGGTTTGCAGATTTGCTAAGCATTTCTGTGAGGTACTGGGGGAGAGGAAATCCCTCCACATGGAAAAAATCGTGGGACAAAGTGGGGATGAGCCTGCTGAGGCCAGGAAAGGCACCGGGCAGAGATGATCTCCCAAGCAAAATGCTGAGGGTGGCGTTTGTGCACAGACTGCCCTACATGACATCATAACAACAGTCTGGACCACTGGACGGGTTCCACAGGACTGGAAGGATGCCCTGGTGGTCCCCCTTTTTAAGAAGGGGGACCGCACAGACTGTAATAACTACAGGGGCATCTCACTCCTCAGTGTGCCTGGAAAAGTCCTGGCAAGGATTATTCAACACCGCCTTGCCAGGCACGCTGAGGAGAGGCTTGCGGATCCCCAATGTGGTTTCAGGAAAGGGTGGTCCTGCACAGATGCCATATTTTCTGTCCATTTTCTACAGCAGAGGTGTAGGGAATTCCAACAAGACCTAAATCTCTGCTTTATTGACCTGGTCAGTGTGCTTATGACTGGCTCCAGTTTAACAGCAGAGGTCTCACTCCGAATCAGTCGAGCGGCAATATCTTTTCATCGGTTGCGTAACGCTGTGTGGAAGCTACCTGGTCTGTCGCTCCACACTAAGCTTCAGGTCTTCTCGGCCACGGTCATTCCCTCCCTTCTCTACGCTTGCGAAACGTGGACCCCTCTAATGGAACATCTTCGCCGGTTAGAAACATTTAGGCTGGCCTGCCTACGATCCATCCTGGGTTTAACCAGACTGGATTGTCTGAGGAGCTCACAAATCCTTGAAAGATCTGGGCAAGGTCCCATCGGTGAGCTCCTCCGGCGGGCAAGGCTGCGATGGCTGGGTCATGTAGCCCGCATGCCCAGCCATCGCATGCCGAAACAGCTTTTGTTCGGCCGGATTGAGGGGGCTAAGCGAGCGCGGCACGGGCTGGAGAAGAGATGGAGTGATGTGGTACAGGAGGATGTGGAGCTGAGTGGACTTGCTGATGATTGGTACCAGCGGTGTCAAGATCGGCCTCTGTGGAGGAGGCTCGTGAAGGACGCTACTGAGCAGTTGGAGGCAGTCGCCATCCAACAACAACGGAGGGCGGAGGAGTGACGCTCACAACAACGAGCGGAGCGCTGGGTGGCTAAAGCACAGCAAGTTGGCACAGTAGGGGGCACAGGTGGTGCATCAGCCAGTCATCTCAGTCAGTCGACCCGTGGCACCTGCTGGGTCTGCCCCGTGACCTCCTGTCAGCGGGCGTTCGACACTTCACGTGCCCTTGTTGTGTGTGTAAGTATCCGTGTGTGTGCCCCCATACTCCCCCACCCCCTTGAAGTGGTGGGGAAGCCGTTCTCGGCCGCGTCGAGCTTTGCCCACGAGTGGCTCTTCGGCGGTGCCGGCTGCCGCTGGTACGGCTTCACGGGGTTCTTCTTTGGTTGCGGCAGCCTCGGCACCCTCACCACGGTCAGCTTCGAGCGCTACCTCAAGATCTGCCACCTCGCCTACAGTACGAGCCGCATCGACACCATCACAGTCGCCCTTCGCATCCAATGCTCATGTCACCCATCAGAGCCGCCATTCACTCCACCGCTCATGACACGTCTCACCCGTCCACCGTGACACCCCCCCCCCATCTGTCACCCCCCACCTGTCACCCCCCACCTGTCACCTCTCACCTGACACCTGACACCTGTCACCTGTCACCTCTCACCTGTCACCTCTCACCTGTCACCTCTCACCTGACACCCCCCACCTGACACCTCTCACCTGTCCCCTCTCACCTGACACCTCTCACCTGTCACCCCCCACCTGTCACCTCTCACCTGTCCCCTCTCACCTGACACCCCCCACCTGTCACCCCCCACCTGTCACCTCTCACCTGTCCCCTGTCACCTCTCACCTGTCACCTCTCACCTGTCCCCTCTCACCTGACACCTCTCACCTGTCACCTCCCACCTGTCACCTCTCACCTGTCACCTTTTCACCTCTCACCTGACACCCCCCACCTGACACCCCCCACCTGACACCCCCCACCTGTCACCTCTCACCTGTCACCTGTCACCTGTCACCTGACACCCCCCACCTGTCACCTCTCACCTGCCACCTCTCACCTATCCACTGTGACGACCCCCCACCCCCCCCCCCCCCCCCCCCCAGGCACGTGGGTGCGACGCCGCCACGCGTTCCTCTGCGTGCTCGCCGTGTGGTTGTACGCCGCCTTCTGGGCCACGATGCCGCTGCTGGGCTGGGGCAGCTACGCGCCGGAGCCCTTCGGAACGTCGTGCACCCTCGACTGGTGGCTGGCGCAGTCGTCGGCGGCGGGCCGCTCGTTCGTGCTCTGCATGCTCCTCTTCTGCCTCCTGCTGCCCGCCGCCGCCATCCTCTTTGCGTACGCGCGCATCGTGGGCGCCGTGCGCCGCAGCGCGCGCGACCTCGCCCACTTCGAGCGACGCGCGCGGGGCGGTGGCGGAGGAGGAGGAGGAGGAGGAGTCGCGCTCGAGCTGCGCATCACCAAGGTAGTGGCGGTGGTGGCGGTGCTGGTGGTGGTGGTAGTGAGTGGATGGTGGGGGTGATGATGGGGATAGGTGGTGGTGGTGGTGATGACGATGAGTGGGTGACGGTGGTGCTGGTGATGATGATGATAATGGAGGGGGAGGAAGGTAGTGGTGATGATGAGTGGGATGGTGGGGATGGAGTCGGAGGGTGGTGATGGTGGTGACGGTGATGGTGATGTTGATGTTGGTGATGATGGAAAGCTCCACCGCTTCTTGAACTTTCCCTCTACACAACCCCAAATCCAACTGTCACTCTGACCCTGATTCCTTCCTCTACCCCAACCTCTACCCCAACCTCAACCCCTACCCCAACCTCTACCCCAACCTCTACCCCAACCCCTACCCCAACCCCTACCCTAACCGCTACCCCAACCTCTACCCCAACCTCTACCCCTACCCTACCCCAACCCCTGCCCGAACCCCTACCCCTACCCCATCCCCTACCCCAACCTCTACCCCAACCTCTACCCCAACCCCTACCCCAACCCATACCCAAACCTCTACCCCACACCCCTACCCCAACGTCTACCCCAACCACTACCCCAACTTCTACCCCAACCCCTACCCTAACCTCTACCCCAACCCTTACCCCAACCTCTACCCCAACCTCTACCCCAACCCCTACCCCAACCTCCACCCCAACCCCTACCCCAACCTCTACCCCTGCCCCTACCCCAACCTCTACCCCAACCTCTACCCCAACCTCTACCCCAACCCCTACCCCAACCTCTACCCCAACCTCTACCCCAACCTCTACCCCAACCCCTACCCCAACCCCTACCCCAACCCCTACCACAACCTCTACACCAAACCCTACCCCAAACCCTACCCCAACCCCTACCCCAACCCTACCCCAACCCCTACCCCAACCTCTACCCCAACCCCTACCCCAAATTCTACCCCAACCCCTACCCCAACCTCTACCCCAACCCCTACCCCAACCCCTACCCCAACCCCAACCCCTACGCCAACCCCTACCCCAACCCCTACCCCAACCCCTACCCCAAACTCTACCCCATCCGCTACCCCAACCGCTACCCCAACCTCTACCCCAACCCCTACCCCAACCCCTACCCCAACCCTTACTCCAACCTCTACCCAAACTCTACCCCAACCTCTACCCCAACCCCTACCCCAACCTCTACCCCAACCCCTACCCCAACCCCTACCCCAACCCCTACCCTAACCCTTACCACAACCTCTACCCCATCCCCTACCCCAACCTCTACCCCAACCTCTACCCCTACCCCAACCTCTACCCCTACCCCAACCTCTACCCCAACCCCTACCCCAAACTCTACCTCAACCCCAACCTCTACCCAACCCCTACCCCAACCTCTACCCCTACCCCAACCCTTACTCCAACCTCTACCCAAACTCTACCCCAACCTCTACCCCCACCCCTACCCCAACCCTACCCCAACCCCTACCCCAACCCCTACCCCAAACTCTACCCCATCCGCTACCCCAACCGCTACCCCAACCTCTACCCCAACCCCTACCCCAACCCCTACCCCAACCCTTACTCCAACCTCTACCCAAACTCTACCCCAACCTCTACCCCAACCCCTACCCCAACCTCTACCCCTACCCCAACCCCTACCCCAACCCCTACCCTAACCCTTACCACAACCTCTACCCCATCCCCTACCCCAACCTCTACCCCAACCTCTACCCCTACCCCAACCTCTACCCCTACCCCAACCTCTACCCCAACCCCTACCCCAAACTCTACCTCAACCCCAACCTCTACCCCAACCCCTACCCCAACCTCTACCCCTACCCCAACCCTTACTCCAACCTCTACCCAAACTCTACCCCAACCTCTACCCCAACCCCTACCCCAACCCTACCCCAATCCCTACCACAACCTCTACCCCAACCCCTACCACAAATTCTACCCCAACCCCTACCCCAACCCCTACCCCAACCCCTACCCCAACCCCTACCCCAACCCCTACCCCAACCCCTACCCCAACCCTAACCTCTACCCCAACCCTAACCTCTACCCCTACCCCAACCTCTACCCCAAATTCTACCCCAACCCCTACCCCAACCTCTACCCCAACCCCTACCCCAACCCCTACCCCAACCCCCACCTCTACCCCCACCCCTACCCCAACCTCTACCCCAACCCCTACCCCAACCCCTACCCCCACCCCTACCCCAACCCCTACCCCAACCTCTACCCCATCCCCTACCCCAACCGCTACCCCAACCCCAACCTCTACCCCAACCTCTACCCCAACCCCTACCCCAACCTATACCCCAACCCTTACTCCAACCTCTACCCCAAACTCTACCCCAACCTCTACCCCAACCCCTACCCCAACCTCTACCCCAACCCCTACCCCAACCCCTACCCCAACCCTACCCCAACCCCTACCCCAACCTCTACCCCAACCCCTACCCCAAATTCTACGCCCAACCCCTACCCCAACCTCTACCCCAACCCCTACCCCAACCCCTACCCCAACCCCTACCCCAACCCCTACGCCAACCCCTACCCCAACCCCTACCCCAACCCCTACCCCAACCCCTACCCCAACCCCTACCCCAACCCCTACCCCAACCCCTACCCCAACCCTTACCCCAACCCTAACCTCTACCCCAACCCTAACCTCTACCCCTACCCCAACCTCTACCCCAAATTCTACCCCAACCCCTACCCCAACCTCTACCCCAACCCCTACCCCAACCCCTACCCCAACCCCAACCTCTACCCCAACCCCTACCCCAACCTCTACCCCAACCCCTACCCCAACCCCTACCCCAACCCCTACCCCAACCCCTACCCCAAACTCTACCCCATCCCCTACCCCAACCGCTACCCCAACCCCAACCTCTACCCCAACCTCTACCCCAACCCCTACCCCAACCTTTACCCCAACCCTTACTCCAACCTCTACCCAAACTCTACCCCAACCTCTACCCCAACCCCTACCCCAACCTCTACCCCAACCCCTACCCCAACCCCTACCCCAACCCTACCCCAACCCCTACCCCAACCTCTACCCCAACCCCTACCCCAAATTCTACGCCCAACCCCTACCCCAACCTCTACCCCAACCCCTACCCCAACCCTACCCCAACCCCTACCCCAACCCCTACGCCAACCCCTACCCCAACCCCTACCCCAACCCCTACCCAAACTCTACCCCATCCGCTACCCCAACCGCTACCCCAACCTCTACCCCAACCCCTACCCCAACCCCTACCCCAACCCTTACTCCAACCTCTACCCAAACTCTACCCCACCTCTACCCCAACCCCTACCCCAACCCCTACCCCAACCCCTACCCTTACCACAACCTCTACCCCATCCCCTACCCCCAACCTCTACCCCAACCTCTACCCCTACCCCAACCTCTACCCCAACCCCTACCCCAAACTCTACCTCAACCCCAACCTCTACCCCAACCCCTACCCCAACCTCTACCCCTACCCCAACCCTTACTCCAACCTCTACCCAAACTCTACCCCAACCTCTACCCCCACCCCAACCCCCACCCAACCCCTACCCCAACCCCTACCCCAAACTCTACCCCATCCACTACCCCAACCGCTACCCCAACCTCTACCCCAACCCCTACCCCAACCCCTACCCCAACCCTTACTCCAACCTCTACCCAAACTCTACCCCAACCTCTACCCCAACCCCTACCCCAACCTCTACCCCTACCCCAACCCCTACCCCAACCCCTACCCTAACCCTTACCACAACCTCTACCCCATCCCCTACCCCAACCTCTACCCCAACCCCTACCCCTACCCCAACCTCTACCCCAACCTCTACCCCAACCCCTACCCCAAACTCTACCTCAACCCCAACCTCTACCCCAACCCCTACCCCAACCTCTACCCCTACCCCAACCCTTACTCCAACCTCTACCCAAACTCTACCCCAACCTCTACCCCAACCCCTACCCCAACCCTACCCCAACCCCTACCACAACCTCTACCCCAACCCCTACCACAAATTCTACCCCAACCCCTACCCCAACCCCTACCCCAACCCCTACCCCAACCCCTACCCAACCCCTACCCCAACCCTAACCTCTACCCCTACTCCAAACTCTACCCCAACCCCTACCCCAACCTCTACCCCAAGCCCTACCCCAACCCCTACCACAACCTCTACACCAAACCCTACCCCAACCCCTACCCCAACCCTACCCCAACCCCTACCCCAACCTCTACCCCAACCCTACCTGAACCCCTACCCCAACCCATACCCCAACCTCTACCCCAACCTCTACCCCAAATTCTACCCCAACCCCTACCCCAACCTCTACCCCAACCCCTACCCCAACCCCTACCCCAACCCCAACCTCTACCCCAACCCCTACCCCAACCTCTACCCCAACCCCTACCCCTACCCCTACCCCAACCCCTACCCCAACCCCTACCCCAAACTCTACCCCATCCCCTACCCCAACCGCTACCCCAACCCCAACCTCTACCCCAACCTCTACCCCTACCCCAACCTATACCCCAACCCTTACTCCAACCTCTACCCAAACTCTACCCCAACCTCTACCCCAACCCCTACCCCAACCTCTACCCCAACCCCTACCCCAACCCCTACCCCAACCCCTACCACAACCTGTACCCCATCCCCTACCCCAACCTCTACCCCAACCCCAACCCCAACCCCTATCCCAACCTCTACCCCTACCCCAACCTCTACCCCAACCCCTATCCCAAACTCTACCCCAACCCCAACCTCTACCCCTACCCCAAACTCTACCCCAACCCCTACCCCAACCCTTACTCTAACCTCTACCCAAACTCTACCCCAACCTCTACCCCTACTCCAACCCTAACCCCTACCCCAACCCCTACCCCAACCCCTACCCCAAACTCTACCCCAACCCCTACCCCAACTTCTACCCCAACCTCTACCCCAACCTCTACCCCAACCTCTACCCCAACCCCTACCCCAACCTCTACCCCAACTTCTACCCCAACCCCTACCCCAACCCCTACCCCAACCCCTACCCCCAACCCCTACCCCCAACCCCTACCCCTACCCCAACCCCTACCCCAACCCCTACCCCAACCTCTACCCCAACCCCTACCCAAACCTCTACCAAAACCCCTACCCCAACCTCTACCCCTACCCCAACCCCTACCCCCATCACCTCGGACCCCCCCCCCCCACCCTGGTTCCCCACCGTGTGCCCGCGTGGGTGCAGGTGGCGATGATGATCTGCGCGGGCTTCCTGCTCGCGTGGATTCCGTACGCCGTGGTGAGCGTTTGGTCGGCGTTCGGCGCCCCCGACTCGGTCCCCGTCGCGGTGTCCATGGTGCCCACGATGTTCGCCAAGTCGGCCGCGATGTACAACCCCCTCATCTACCAGCTGCTCTCACGGCGCGGGACGGGGGCGCACTGCTGCCGCTGCCGCAAGGCTCGGGGCACGCTCAGGAGACCCAGGTAGCTCAGGGAGACCCAGGTAGCTCAAGGAGACCCAGGTAGCTCAGGGAGGCCCAGGTAGATCAAGGAGACCCAGGTAGCTCAGGAGACCCAGGTAGATCAAGTAGGCCCAGGTAGCTCAAGGAGACCCAGGTAGCTCAAGGAGACCCAGGTAGCTCAGGGAGGCCCAGGTAGATCAAGGAGACCCAGGTAGCTCAGGAGACCCAGGTAGATCAAGGAGACCCAGGTAGATCAAGGAGACCCAGGTAGCTCAGGAGACCCAGGTAGATCAAGGAGGCCCAGGTGGCTCAGGAGACCCAGGTAGATCAAGGAGACCCAGGTAGCTCAAGGAGACCCAGGTAGCTCAGGAGACCCAGGTAGATCAAGGAGGCCCAGGTAGCTCAAGGAGACCCAGGTAGCTCAAGGAGACCCAGGTAGCTCAGGGAGACCCAGGTAGATCAAGGAGACCCAGGTAGCTCAAGGAGACCCAGGTAGATCAAGGAGACCCAGGTAGCTAAAGGAGACCCAGGTAGCTCAAGGAGGCCCAGAGAGCTCAAGGAGACCCAGGTAGCTCAAGGAGGCCCAGGTAGATCAAGGAGACCCAGGTAGCTCATGGAGACCAAGGTAGATCAAGGAGACCCAGGTAGCTCAAGAAGACCCAGGTAGCTCAAGGAGGCCCCGGTAGCTCAAGGAGACCCAGGTAGCTCAAGGAGACCCAGGTAGATCAAGGAGACCCAGGTAGCTCAAGGAGGCCCAGGTAGCTCAAGGAGACTCAGGTAGCTCAAGGAGACCCAGGTAGATCAAGGAGACCCAGGTAGATCAAGGAAGCCCAGGTAGCTCAAGGAGACCCAGGTAGATCAAGGAAGCCCAGGTAGCTCAAGGAGACCCAGGTAGATCAAGGAAGCCCAGGTAGCTAAAGGAGACCCAGGTAGCTCAAGAAGACCCAGGTAGCTCAAGGAGGCCCAGGTAGCTCAAGAAGACCCAGGTAGCTCAAGGAGACCCAGGTAGATCAAGGAGACCCAGGTAGATCAAGGAAACCCAGGTAGCTCAAGGAGACCCAGGTAGATCAAGGAAGCCCAGGTAGCTCAAGGAGACCCAGGTAGATCAAGGAAGCCCAGGTAGCTCAAGGAGACCCAGGTAGTTCAAGGAAGCCCAGGTAGCTCAAGGAGACCCAGGTAGATCAAGGAGGCCCAGGTAGATCAAGGAGGCCCAGGTAGCTCAAGGCGATCCAGGTAGCTCAAGGAGACGCAGGTAGCTCAAGGAGACCCAGGTAGCTCAAGGAGGCCCAGGTAGCTCAAGGAGACCCAGGTAGCTCAAGGAGACCCAGGTAGATCAAGGAGGCCCAGGTAGATCAAGGAGGCCCAGGTAGCTCAAGGGGATCCAGGTAGCTCAAGGAGACGCAGGTAGCTCAAGGAGACTCAGGTAGCTCAAGGAGGCCCAGGTAGCTCAAGGAGGCCCAGGTAGCTCAAGGAGACCCAGGTAGCTCAAGGAGGCCCAGGTAGCTCAAGGAGGCCCTGGTAGCTCAAGGAGACCCAGGTAGATCAAGGAGACCCAGGTAGATTAAGGAGACCCAGGTAGATCAAGGAGACCCAGGTAGCTCAAGGAGACCCAGGTAGCTCCACCTTGGAATTCCCTCCCAGCGTCTCTTTCTCCCAAGCTCTGACCGTGACAATGTTGCTCGATTCCACAATCGCGGTGCATTCTGAAACCATGGCAACCGTGACAGTGCCGTTCATTGCAGGCCGCTTAACAATTTGTGTTAAACACGTGTTAAACATCTGGTGGCTAGGAGATGTTAACTACATCGCCTGGTATACAGGAAGTCGTGGGTTTAATCCGACCCTGACGACGCCTGCTGTATATTTGGAGTTTGCGGTGTCTCTCTCCCGCATGGTCGCGTGGATTTTTGTCCGGGTCCTCTGGGTTTTCCCTGAACATTTAAAATAAACATCACGCGTTTAGAATATTTGGCTGCTGTACATTTCCACGTGATGATGATGATGATATGCCGCTTCGTTGGTCTATCACTTGTGGCCAGGTCGCTCCTGAAAAAGAGCTGTATAGCTCAGTGAGCCTTAACTGGTAAAATAAAAGTAAGTTTAATAATAGGTGAGTGAAATCACAACACCCCTTCTTCTGCCCCTCCCCACCAGCCCCTCCCCCCAGGGTTACTCATGTGGGGGCAAAGGTAGATTGTGTCACCGGGGGTTCGTCTGCCAGACATCGTAGTTAATTAACTACTACTAAACTACAATGTAAAAACGTATTAAGCTTGTGCTGGAGGTCCCTGGGGGACAGGCATCTTTGACGTCTCCTGGACAAACCCCATTTGACAGAGCCAGGAGACTGAATACTTACCCTCGGGGCTTCACCAGAAACAGCACAAAGCCACTGTGAATGGCTACGTGGAATGTTCGAACGCTCACTGCGGAGGAGAGGCTGCCACTCCTCTGTCAGGAGCTGGACCGGTACCGCCTGGATCTCTGTGGTATTCAGGAGGCCCTGTGGACCGGCTCTGGCTCCTGCCACCATGAGTGGTGGACAGTCCGCTACTCGGGGCAGGAGGCTGCCAAACAACAGGGAGTGGCTCTTCTTCTGAAAAAAAGAAGGAAGGGGGCGTGGGAGCGTGGCGGTGAGGTGTGGGAAGCAGTAAGCCTCAGGCTACTTTGGGCTCACCTTCCCATTAACCAGAGGCAAGGAGTTGTGGTTATGGTTACTTATGCCCCCACCGAAGACGAACATCCGTGGAGGGATGTAGGCAAGGCCGATGAGTCAGATGCCTTCTATGACCTCCTGTCACAAGTGCTGGCTAAAGTGGCCCCTTGGGATCGAGTCATCTTGTTGGGTAACTTCAATGCCCGAGTTAGTTATGATGCTAGCACCAGGTCTGGAGTGATTGGAAAACATGGGCCAGATCAGCTCAATAACAACGGTAGGAGGCTGCTAGATTTTTGTGCAGCCCTTGGGCTTGTAATTACCAACACGCAGTTCCGGCATCGGCGCATCCACACAACATCATGGATGCATGCCGGGTCCAAGCAAGAACATCTGCTGGACTACATAGTGACGGAACAACGGATGCGGGCCCATGTCCTTGACACCAGGACCTACCGTGGAGCTGATCTGCCCACTGACCATCGACTTGTCTTCTCTAAGATGCGCCTGCCATTCATCCACTCCGGTGGTGGATGTACACCCAGGACCCCATTCCAACCTAAGGTGGCCTGGTCTCAGCTACAGTGAGGGAAAAAGTATTTGATCCCCTGCTAATTTTGTACGTTTGCCCACTGACAAAGAAATGATCAGTCTCTAATTTTAATGGTAGGTTTATTTGAACAGTGAGGGGCAGAATAACAACAACAAAATCCAGAAAAAATGTCAAAAATGTTATAAATTGATTTGCATTTTAATGAGGGAAATATATATTTGACCCCCTCTCAATCAGAAAGATTTCTGGCTCCCAGGTGTCTTTTATACAGGTAACAAGCTGAGATTAGGAGCACACTCTTAAAGGGAATGCTCCTAATCTCAGCTTGTTACCTGTATAAAAGACACCTGTCCACAGAAGCAATCAATCAATCAGATTCCAAACTCTCCACCATGGCCAAGACCAGAGAGCTCTCCGAGGATGTCAGGGACAAGATTGTAGACCTACACAAGGCTGGAATGGGCTACAAGATCATTGCCAAGCAGCTTGGTGAGAAGATGACAACAGTTGGTGCGATAATTCGCAAATGGAAGAAACATAATAGAACTGTCAATCTCCCTCGGCCTGGGGCTCCATGCAAGATCTCACCTCGTGGAGTTGCAATGATCATGAGAACGGTGAGGAATCAGCCCAGAACTACACGGGAGGATCTTATCAATGATCTCAAGGCAGCTGGGACCATAGTCACCAAGAAAACAATTGGCAACACACTGCGCCGTGAAGGACTGAAATCCTGCAGTGCCTGCAAGGTCCCCCTGCTCAAGAAAGCACATATACATGCCCGTCTAAAGTTTGCCAATGAACATCTGAATGATTCAGAGGACAACTGGGTGAAAGTGTTGTGGTCAGATGAGACCAAAATGGAGCTCTTTGGCATCAACTCAACTCGTCGTGTTTGGAGGAGGAGGAATGCTGCCTATGACCCCAAGAACACCATCCCCACCGTCAAACATGGAGGTCGAAACATTATGCTTTGGGGGTGTTTTTCTGCTAAGGGGACAGGACAACTTCACCGCATCAAAGGGCGATGGACGGGGACATGTACCGTCAAATCTTGGGTGAGAACCTCCTTCCCTTAGCCAGGACATTGAAAATGGGTCGTGGATGGGTATTCTAGCATGACAATGACCCAAAACACACAGCCAAGGCAACAAAGGAGTGGCTCAAGAAGAAGCACATTAAGGTCCTGGAGTGGCCTAGCCAGTCTCCAGACCTTAATCCCATAGAAAATCTGTGGAGGGAGCTGAAGATTCGAGTTGCCAAACGTCAGCGTCGAAACCTTAATGACTTGGAGAAGATCTGCAAAGAGGAGTGGGACAAAATCCCGCCTGAGATGTGTGCAAACCTGGTGGCCAACTACAAGAAACGTCTGACCTCTGTGATTGCCAACAAGGGTTTTGCCACCAAGTACTAAGTCATGTTTTGCAGAGGGGTCAAAAACTTATTTCCCTCATTAAAATGCAAATCAATTTATAACATTTTGATTTGCGTTTTTCTGGATTTTTTTGTTGTTATTCTGTCTCTCACTGTTCAAATAAACCTACCATTAAAATTATAGACTGATCATTTGTTTGTCAGTGGCCAAACGTACAAAATCAGCAGGGGATCAAATACTTTTTTCCCTCACTGTAGCTGATGAAGGTTGCAAGCGAGAATTTCATCAACGCTTGTGGCTGGGGTTGGCATCGTCCCCCACTCCTCCTGATGTCGAGGTTAAATGGGCGAGGTTTAGGACTGTGGCTCATGCAACTGCAATGCCTGCTTTGGGTACGCGGTCCAGACCTTCCCAGAGACCCTGGCTGTCAGAGGAGGT